GAAGTAGGGAAGTATAGGCCCTGAGTGGTGTATAACTTGATGTACTACTGCATGACTACTGTTCCATCCATGTAAATGTCCACGATGTGGGACAATACCAGTCCCCAGAGGCTCCCCACTAACAAGAGGGCAACCACAGTGTTATGGCCTCTCTCATCTTCCATTGGCTTTTCCTGTTTCTGAATTTCATGGGAATGCAATAAGAAGGCACTTGATATAATTAGAATCATGCAGGATGAGCCAGTTTCATTCAGTATTGTGTCTGGAATTTATCCACCTGCTTGCACATTCTAGAAGCAGTTCCTGCCTTTTAATTCCTATACCTACTGCTACGTTTAGAAGTTTGTGAAGAATGGAATGAAAACAGAAATTTATTTTGGTCCAAATATTTTTGAATCCATGAATCACCTTTTTCATAAAATGCATTTGCCATGAATACCCTGAAGATCTCTTATTATAGAAATAGCTGTGACATATTTACTCATTTAATTACTAGTGAACATTTGAGTGATTTCCAGTATTTGGTTATTATAAATAATGCTGATTGGGCATGAATTCTGGTGCACATATGTAGGACTTCTGCTGATTGTATGCCCAAAAGTGAATCTACTGAGGGGTATGGCTGTTGTTTTTTAAAGATTTATTTTATTTATTTGAAAGGCAGAGTTACAGAAAGAGGTAGAGACAGAGTGAGAGATCTTCCATCCACTGGTTCATTTCCCAAATGGCTGCAGTGGCCGGAGCTGAGCCAATCTGAAGCCAGGAGCCAGGAGCTTCTTCAGGGTCTCCCATGTGGGTGCAGGGGCCCAAGAACTTGGGCCGTCTTCCACTTCTTTCCCAGGCCATAGCAGAGAGTTGGATTGGAAGAGGAGCAGCGGGGATTCGAACCGGTGCCCATATGGGATGCCGGCACTGCAGGCCAGTGCGCCACACATCTGGCCCTGGTATGGCTGTTTTTATGTTCAGCTCGTGCGGCTGGGCGAATGCGTCCTCCCTTCAACAGTGTCCAGGTGCGGTGCTTGCTCCATTAATCTTGGAAACACTTACGCTGTTCTCATTGTGTTAAAATAATTTCCACCCTGCTGTCACCTCCTTGTGGTTTAAGTTGCATTTCCATGACAATCACTGGGTAAACAATGTTTTTTAACAGTCATTTGTGTATTGTCTTGGTCCTTTTGGGCTGCTACAGCAGAAATTCCCCAGACAGCGTGGCTTGAACAGCACTGAGTTCTCTTAGTGCTGCAGGCAGTGGAGGCCAAAGTCAATGCAGCAGAAGGTTCAGGGTCTGGGATGTCGTTTCCTGGTTCATAGAGGACCATCTTCTGCTTGCGTCCTCGCCTGGCGAGAGGGAACGGAGCTTCATCTCTGGGATCCATTGTGTAAGGGTCCTTGTGCCAGGCATGAGCATTACCTAATCACCTCTCAGAGCCCCTTCAATGCCGTCATGTTTGAGGATTGCACGTTGAAGCCAAAGCAGATAACTTCATTTTATGAAGTTGCCAGTACAAACTTTTGCTGTATATTTATTTTTTGAAATATTGCATCTTTTTCAATATACAGATGTTATTCTTGTTAGGTAGGTGGATGGAAAATACCCTCTTCTTGGTAGCTCCATATTTCACTCTCTCAGTCTCCTCTGGTTTTTGATGGAGTACAGCACATCAGTCCTAATTTACAATTAGCTAATTTACAGTTAGCATGCTGGGACCTGGTTGTCTTATATCCCAAGGTTATGTTATTTCTTAGAATCTTTAAAGTTTTACTTTGCATATTTATTTATTTATTTTTTAAAGATTTATTTATTTGAAAGTCAGAGTTACAGAGAGAGAGAGAGAGAGAGAGAGAGAGAGGTCTTCTATCCTATGGTTCACTCTCCAATTGGCAGCAATAGCTGGAGCTGTGCTAATCCGAAGCCAGGAACCAGGAGTTTCTTCCAGGTCTGCCACTCGGGTGCAGAGGCCCAAGGACTTGAGCCATCTTCTATTGCTTTCCCAGGCCACAGCAGAGAGCTGGATTGGAGTGGAGCAGCCGGGACTTCAACTGGCACCCATATAGGATGCCGGCACTGCAGGCGTTGGCTTTACCCGCTACCCCACAGCACCAGCCCCTTGTATTTAAGAACAGTGAAGAGTTGTTTGTAATGTGTGGTGTAAAGTAGGGGTCCTGACTTATTTTGAAGACCGTGAAGGAATCCTGATTTTCAAGAGATTTAGAAGTGGTGATAATAGAGCTATAAGAACCCCTTAAAAGAACAGCTTCAGCCACATCCCAGAAGCTTAGATATAGCAGTGTAAGCATATTTAGTATTACTAATTCAAAATATTTTCTAATCTCCATAGTGATTTCATCTCTGACTCAAGCTCTTTCGACAGGTTGCTTAATTTCCAAGAATTTGGAAAATGTCCAGGCATTCATTTCTATATTAATTTCAACTGTGGTCAAGGGACATACGCAGATTTTAGTCTTTGAAATTGTTAAAGGTATGTTTCAGGATGTGGTCTGTTTTGGCAATTGTTCCGTATCTACTCAAAAATAATCCCTTCTGTTAGTTGTTTGCTACGGTGTTCTACATACGACAGTCGCTGTTTCAGATTAAATTGATCTTATACGGTCGCTGGTTCAGATAAAAATTTTTTTTATTGTCACTTACTGAAAGAGGTAGGTGTTGAAATTTTTAAAAAAGTACCTGGTTGGGGGAGTGGCACTGTGGTGTAGTGGGTAAGGTCACCACCTGCAGTGCTGGCATTCCCATATGGGTGCTGGTTCAAGTCCTGGATGCTGCACTTCTGATCCAGCTCTCTGCTGTGGCCTGGGAAAGCAGTGGAAGATGGCCCAAGTCCTTGGACCCCTGCACCTGCATAGGAGCTCTGGAGGAGGCTCCTGGCTCCTGGCTTCAGCTGGGCTCAGCTCCGGCTCTTGGGACCATTTGGGGAGTGAACCAGTGGATGGAGGACCTCTCTTTGTCTCTGCCTTTGTGTAACTCTGACTTTTAAGTAAATAAATAAATATTTTAAAAAAGTATTTGGGATCATTTATTTCCAGTTTTATAATATTTTGCTTTAAATATTTTAAGGCTGCATTATTAAGTCCATACAGATTTAGGATTTTTGGATCTTTGTTTTGGACTGCCTTTATAAGGGTTTAATGTCTTTATTCTACTAGTAATGCTTTTTGTCTGAAAGTCTGTTTGTATGATATTGCATAGCTTCTAAAGGCTTTTATTGCTGGTATTGGTATTTGCCTAACATTACCTTCCCCGTCAGTTTATTTTCCTTCTATGTCTTTATATTAAGTGTACTCCTCTTGTATGCAAAATGCAGTGTAATTTGTTTTTATAATCTTGGTTGGTGCTTTTCTTTTAACTGGAATATTTAATCCATTTATATTTAATGTAATTATTGGCATTTTTACATTTAAATTTGCTGTTATTATTTGTTTTGTTTTTCTCATTCTGTTTCATTTTTTTCCTCCACTTTTTCCTTTCGATTAACCAATCTTTAAAATTATTACATTTTACTCTTCCAGTAGCTTGCTAGTTATGCTTTATTTTATGGTTATTTAAGAGGTAATCAGAGGTACTATAACATGCATTTTTATGTGGTCCAGTCTTCATTAAATCCGTACTTTATCATTGCCGACCAGTAGAAGGTCTCACAATGGGGTTATTCCTTTAGTGGTGGCTTCCGTGCTGTTGTTTCCATGTTTTGAAAATCGCTGTATGTATTTAAAATCTTGTAAGATATTGCACTTTTTAAAAAGATTTATTTATTTGAAAGTCAGAGTTACACAGAGAGAGAAGGCGAGCCAGAGAGAGAGAAAGAGAGAGGTCTTCCATCTGCTGGTTCACTCCCCAGATGGCCACAATGGCTGGAACTGCGCCAATCCAAAGCCAGGAACAAGGAGCCTCCTCCAGGTCTCCCACGCAGGTGCAGGGCCCAAGGACTTGGGCCATCCTCTACTGCTTTCTCGGGCCATAGCAGAGAGCTGGATCAGAAGTGGAGCAGCCAGGACTAGAACCGGCACCCATATGGGATGCTGACACTGCAGGCAGCGGCTTTACCCGCTATGCCACAGCACCAAACCCAAGATGCTGCATTTTTATGCTGTCAGTATTTATATTTGTCTTCTGGTACTCTCCATTTCTTTCCACATTTCCCTATCCCATTTGGGGTGTTTCTCTTCTATCTGAAACCCTTTAGTGTTTCTTTTGATGTCTGTTGGCTGGTGAGGAATTCTCTAACGTCTGTGCCTGAATATTTAATTTTTCCTGTATTTATGAAACATATATTCACTGGGCATAGAATTTTTCAGATGACAGGTTACTTTCTGTTCAAGATATCACTTCATTGTCTTGTATCTTCTGTGATTTGCAAATACAGCTAACAATTTTTTGTTGCATTATTTGAATGCGATGTTTATTTTTTGCCCTCTGATTACTTCTAAGTGTCTCTCTTTGTCTTTGGTCCTCAGCTGTGTGACTATGAAGCTCTTAGCTATGCTTTTCTTCATGTTTGTCCTGCTTGGAATTCATAGATAAGCTTGAATATGCATCTTAGTATTTTCCCCTATTTTGAATAGTTCTTGGCTTTCTGCTATTCAAATATTACTTATTTCCCACTTATCTGTTCTCTTATTCTGGAACTGTAAAGTATACTTGTGTTAGGTATTTCCAGTGTCTGAGATGCTTGTAATATTCTCTTTGGTGTTGTAAAATCTTCTTTCCCTTTGTGTTTCAATGTGAATACTTCTTATGGACTTGTCTTCCAGTCACATACTCTGTCATTTACAGCATCTAATTGATACTGAACCCTGATGTTGAACTCAACTTCAATTGTTGAATTTTTCATATAGAATTTTCACTCACCATCTTCTTATGTTTTCCATGTTTTTTTTTTTTTTGGTGGGAATTGACATTGTCATCTATATTTTTTCTTCCTTCCTTCCTTCCTCTCCCTCTCCCTCTCCCTCTCCCTCTCCCTCTCCCTCTCCCTCTCCCTCTCCATTTGAAAGGTAGAATGACAGAGAGGGAGGGAGAGACAGAGATAGAAAGAGATCTTCCATTTGCTGGTTCACTCCTCAGGTGTCTGCAACAGCCAGGACTGAGCCTGGCTGAAGCCAGGAGTCAAGAACTCCATCCTGGTTTCACACTTGCTTGGCAGGGGCTCAAACATTTGGGCCATCATCCACTACCTTCCCAGACGCATCAGCAGGGGGAGCTAAATGGAAAGCAGAATAGCCGGGACTTGAACCTGAACTCTGATCTGGGATGTTGGCATGGCAGGTGGCAGCTTAACCTACGGCCCCACAGCACGGGCCCCATCATCTGTTTTCTTGAACGTCTTTGCTGCAGTTACGTTAAAGATTATTTCTTTTTTTATTTTATTATTATTTTTTTGACAAATAGAGTTAGACAGTGAGAGAGAGAGACAGAGAGAAAGGTCTTCCTTCCGTTGGTTCACCCCCCCAATGGCCGCCACGGCCGGCGCGCTGCGCTGATCCAAAGCCAGGAGCCAGGTGCTTCCTCTTGGTCTCCCATGCGGGTGCAGGGCCCAAGCACTTGGGCCATCCTCCACTGCCTTCCCGGGCCACAGCAGAGAGCTGGACTGGAAGAGGAGCAACTGGGACTAGAACCCGGTGCCCATATGGGATGCCGGTACTGCAGGCGGAGGATTAATCAAGTGAGCCACTGTGCCAGCCCCTAAAGATTATTTCTGAGACCAATTTTGGGATTATCTGGTGAGTTACCAGTTTTTTTCTTAGTTTTCCGTTTTGGGTTCTGTTTCCTGGAAAAATCTGTGGCAGAACCGTCTGTAAAGCATTGTGGCAGTCCTGGGCGATGCATCTCCCCCCAGAGGTGCTCTGGGTTCATGATGGCAGATAATGAGGGTCAAGGTGATCTCCTTGGTACAAACAAGGTCTGAAATGATTCGAGTTTGCGGTTCAGGCTTTATGAGCTCCTGCTGCTGTCTGCAGTTACTGTCCTGCTTTCAGCCTTCAGGGGTGAGCAAAGCCCTGGGGAATTTACTGAGGCGCCCCCTCACTGGGCAGCCCTGAGCCGCAGTTTTTGTCCCCCGGGGTCATTGTGATGCTGCAGAAATGTGTGCGGGCAGCATCCTGTGCTGGCTCCCGGGCGCCTCACGCGTGCACTCCGCTTAAGAATCCGCCAAGCCTCGAGAGGAAATGGAGCATTGCCCGTCGGCTTGGCTTCTTTATGTTCCCCCTTTTCCCAGAAATTTGGCCTCTTAGGTCCCGGTTTCCTTGGTTACGGTGCATTCTGATTCTCCTCTCTCACAGCCCAGCGAGGCAGTCGCGAGCTCCAGGCTGGGGCTTTCTGCTCCGGCTTCCTGTCCTTGGTTGTAAGACAGAAAAATCCCCCGAAGAGAAGAGGCGGCTGCGGACGCACGGCTCCTCGCGGTGCGTGCCCCTGCCTCCCAGTACTGGCCCCGCAGAGCCTGGCTGCCTCAGTTGCTCTGAAGTCCTGAGAGATCTTTGTAGAATTTGAAGTGCTGAAAACCATTGCGACTTACAGAAGAGTTGTAAAACCTGAGCAGAGGGCTGGCGGTCGCCCCTCACTCATCTCTCCCTCTTGCTAACAACTTGCAAATAACCTGTATTGTTGGTACTTGAAGTGAGGTTTGCTGTTTTTTTGTTTTGTTTTGTTTTTTTTGTTTTGTTTTGTTTTGTTTTTGAGCTGATAAAAGCAGAGAGTGGCTGTTAACTGGTGGAATGAACAGATGAAGGAACTGGTACAGAAGGCGACATTTTTGGTGCAGGGCTTCCCAAAGGGTGGTCCCCAGACCCCTGCTGCCTGGAGGTCTGGCCCCGTGTTAGACGTCTCCACAGCTCAGTCAAGTGCAAGGCCACACCTTGGAGGTCTGGCCCCATGTTAGATGTCTCCATGGCTCAGTCAAGTGCAAGGCCACACCTTGGAGGTCTGGCCCCATGTTAGACGTCCACAGCTCAGTCAAGGGCAAGGCCACACCTTGGAGGTCTGGCCCCATGTTAGACCTCTCCACAGCTCAGTCAAGTGCAAGGCCACACTTTGCACGTACACACTTGGAAACTTATAATGCCTGTGCCCACGTGATAGCTTCTGAAGGCGTTTTAACTAAGCTCTCTGTTTAACTTTATTTTGCCTGGGTTTCCCAACTGACATGGTCAGGAGCCGCTCTCCCGGCATTATTGTCCAGGGTTCTGGGGCACATTCACTGGACAACATTATTCTGGATGGATTTCTGAGAATCCCGAGGTATAAATTCTGCTTGCATTTTTTTTTTTTTTTACATTTTGTCCTGGGTTCTGGCTTTCTTTCTGTTTCATTTTTTGCTTCATCCAAGGGAAGAACACGGAAAGCCAAGATTTCTCTCAAAACAGATATTCGCACCCAAAGGCGGCCAAGGCTGTGCCAATCACATTTACCGATTAAGACCCCAGCACACAGCCGAGGCAAAAAAAACAAAGGCAGCGGCTGGCTTCCTGTTCCCTGGATGAATTCCTGTCGCACGTTGTTAGTGCTCCTATTGACTGAGCTGGCAGGAGCCAGGAGCCAGGAGCTTCTTTCAGGTCTCCCACATGGGTGCAGGGGCCCAAGGACTTGGGCCATTTTCTACTGCTTTCCCAGACCACAGCAAAGAGCTGGATTGGAAGTGGAGCATCCGGGACTTGAACCAGCGCCCATATGGGATGTCGGTGCTGCAGGCGGCAGCTTTACCCACTATGCCACAGTGCTGGCCCTGATTATAGTAATGTAACTTTGGTAGATTTCTCCCTTTATTGTCAGGTTAAGTCTCTATCCCTATTCCTGCTTTGTCTTAGAAAAATATTTCTTGTCTGATATCGTTGTTGTAGGCCTTATTGGAGTACTTTTCTAGTATGTAAGTTTTCACTGTTTTCAATATATTTCCTGTATGTTTTAACTTAAGTGTGACTCCTAGAAACCGCATGTAGCTGGACTTTTAAAATCCGCTGTATTGAGACTGGCATTGCTGGTTCCTGTCCCAGCTGCTCTACTTGCCATCCAGTCCCCTGCTAATGGTCTGGAAAAGCAGTGGAAGATAGCCCAAGTCCTTGGGCCCCTGCACGTGCATGGGAGATCTGGAGGAAGCCCCTGGCTCCTGGCTATGGCCGTGCTCAGCACTGGCCATTGCATCCATTTGAGGAGTGAACCAGTGGATGGAAGAACCTCTCTCTCTCTCTCTCTCTTCCTCTTTCTTCCTCCTTCCCTCCCTCCCTCTCATCCTCCCTCCTTCCCTCTTTCCCTCTCTCTCATCCTCCCTCCCTCCTTTCCTTCCTTCCTTCCTTCCTTCCTTCCTTCCTTCCTTTTTCTCTCTGTAACTCTGCCTTTCAAATAAATAATAAATCTTTAAAAAATCCGCTCTATTGATTTATCCTGTAATATGTTGAATTTAATCCCTTTACACAATGATTGCTGATATATTTTGGACTTATTGTCACTGTAACTTACCTGGGATTTCTGTTTGCCATTCCTCCTTCTCTCCCCACACCCTTTCTCCTGTCTCCTTTGCAGGGGATGAGATGGAGACTTTGTTGCACCATACACAGTGCTCTCTGTCTGTCCCAGTTTTGTGCTTCCAGTAGTAGCATTTCAGCCAAGTCTTAAGCAACACTGAGTGGCCTCCTCTTAAACACAGGTGAATCTTGGTGTGCTCAAATGATCACAACTCTCAAATGATCACAACAGCCTTCCCCCTCCATATCTTAGTATTGATGAAGGTTTTAGTTTGAGCTGTGGGGAAACTCAGAGCTATTAGTTTGTTTTTAGCCAGTAATGAAATTTACCACCTCATATTGTCCCATTCCACCCTTGTCCAAATTTCCCATGGTCCACACTTTTCCCTTGGTTCAGATTTTGTTTCCTCAAAGACATCTGAAGATGTCTTCATTCTGTTCTCTTTCTTAAGCAGCAGTTTAGGGAAATGTAAAAGTTTAGGTTTTCACTTACTTCCTTCTTTTCCACCAGAAGCCACTCCTCCACCGTCCGCTGGCACCTGCTGTTGCAGGCGAGAAATCTGCCGTCTATCTCACTGCTGTGGCTGTTTGTCCTCCGCCCCGCCCCCTTCATTCTGTAGTTTTAGAAGGTTTTGTTCCTGAGATTGTGACGTGAGTGGTGTGAATTAATATTTATCTTGAGTGGAACTTGAGAGCACTTCCAGACTGTGGACTCCTGCCTCCCTTTGGTTGTGGGGTAGAAATAGCTGTTGACTCTTAACATGGCGATTCTTCCATATTCTGTGCTCTCTTTCTGGGGTGCCTAACAGTACCTCTCAGGGCCCCCCTCTTACTCTCCATACTGATAAACTTTCATTAAAAAAAAGTAAAACTCTTTTTGTCATTGTTCTTCAGGTAATTTGCTCAGGAATGCTTTCCACTTCTGATATTCTTTTCTGATCGTGTATGGAATTTATGCATAGTCATTATTATGACTCTATTTTTTATTTCTAAGATTCTTAATTTTTTATATCTCTTGTTAAATTCTTGTCTTGGGGCTGGGATTGTGGCATGTCAGGTTGGGCCACTGCCAACAACGCGAGCATCCCATATTGGTGCCAGTTTGAGTCCCGGGCATTTGAGGAATGAACCAGCAGGTGGAAGATATTCTCTCTCTCTCTCTCTCTTTCTTTCTCTCTCTCTCTCCCTCGCTCTCTCTATAACTCTGCCTTTCCAAAAAATTAATGTCTTTTTTTTAAAAAATACATTGACATCCTTCTGGTAATCACTTGCTGTTTGCCTGGCTTTGTCATGTAGCTTCGTGGACCTGTTTCCACCTAAAGTGAATGTGTGAATCCATGTTAGCTCACCTGGCCTTGTGGCTCTCTTTCTCCATGCTAGGTTTTATCCCTGTGCTTTAGAGTTTAGCTCCAGGGTACATTTCAATCTGGGGGTGGAAGAGCATCTTTTCATTGCTTTTAGCCACTGTGTGCTCACGATGTTCCACGGGACGTGGCTTCCTCCATCAGCCTCGCCAGCCCTCTCTCCAGGACAGGGGGTGCTCTCCTGTGATGAGCTCGTGGGCATCTGCATCTGTCCACAGATAGATTCCTTGTTCTCCAGGGGACAACGTGGTAGCCACAGACAGGGGTTTGCTTCTGGGTTTTACTTCCTGCCCCCAGGCCTTGTGCAAGCCTGAGTCCAGGCCCCCCCTACCCCCGAGGAGCCAGCCTGCTGGCCGCCGTAGCCTGGCTGCAAACCTGAGGCTGCCATGTGCTTTTCATACTGTATTCGTGTTCATTTTCAGCTCCAGAGCAAGGTCTTTTTATTTTTTATTTTTTATTTTTGACAGGCAGAGTGGACAGTGAGAGAGAGAGAGACAGAGAGAAAGGTCTTCCTTTGCCATTGGTTCACCCTCCAATGGCTGCCACTGCTGGCGCACTGCTGCGGGTGCACCGCGCTGATCTGAAGCCAGGAGCCAGGTGTTTCTCCTGGTCTCCCATGGGGTGCAGGCCCCAAGCACTTGGGCCATCCTCCACTGCACTCCTGGGCCACAGCAGAGAGCTGGCCTTGAAGAGGGGCAACTGGGACAGAATCCGGAGCCCTGACTGGGACTAGAACCTGGTGTGCCGGCGCCGCAAGATGGAGGATTAGCCTATTGAGCCGCGGTGCCGGCCCAGAGCAAGGTCTTTATTCCAGCTTTGAGCGTTGATCTTATTTCTGTTGTTTTTGTATTTAATCTGTCATTTTCTGTGTATTCAGAGTGCAGAGAGTTAAACTCATACAACCCCCTGATCAGAGTAGAACCTTTGGAATAATTCATATTGAGTTTCCAGCACCTAAGAGAAACAACCTTGTAACCTTGGAATGAGACCAAGGGCCCCGTTAGGGATCATGCCTGTCTTTTTCTTTTTCTTTTTTAAGATTTATTCATTTATTTGAAAGGTGGAGTTACAGAGGCAGAAGCAGAGAGAGAGAGAGAGAGAGAGAGAGAGAGAGAGAGAGAGATCAGTCTGCTGGCTCACTCCCCAGATGGCTGCAATGGCCAGAGCTGTGCTGATCCAAAGCCAGGAGCCAGGAGCTTCCTCTGGGTCTCCCATGTGGGTGCAGGGGCCCAAGGACTTGGGCCATCTTCTACTGCTTTCCCAGGACATAGCAGAGAGCTGGATCAGAAGAGGAGCAACCGGGACTAGAACTGGCGCCCATATGGGATGCTAGAGCCCTAGGTGGAGGATTAAACTACTGCACCACAGCACCGGCCCCAAGACATCTTGCTTTCTGAAAGTAGAGCAGGAATAACCTGAATGAGTGGGAAGCGACACAGATGAAAGAGGGCTCTGATCTCATTCTCAAGCTGAGAGGGAGGGATCCTAAAGGGGATGTTTCCCAGCGGGGGGGTCTCCTGGTGGGATTAGGCATTGAGAGCTTGGCTGTGGGCCAGCAGGCTGGGCGGGCTGCACGGGCTGTGTCAGCTGGGTTGGCTGCTCTTGGGTGGGCGCACTCACCTGTCAGTGGCCTGCTCTGCTTCCGGGGAGCTGGGGTTTCATGGTTTGAGACGGCTCAGCCCGGCAGCAGGTGTCTGCTCCGTGGGATTCTCCACACTCTGGTAATGTGGCTGGGCTATTGCGAGTCCATGGTCTGGCCAGCCCTGATAGCTCTGGAGCACCTAGGAAGTCCAAGCTCAGCACACACACAGTGTGGCTTACGCTGCATCGTGCCGCGGACCAGAGTGAGCACAGGGTGGTAAGATCCACTGTCTTTCCTAGTGGGAGGAGCTGCCGAGCATCCTGGCTGTGGTTGCCGTCTGCCAGGGCAGCACGGTGTGGATGCCAGTCCCTCTCCCCATCCTGGAAGAAGATGTGTCCTTTTTTTTTTTTTCTTTAGCATGTTCAGAATATTACCTCCCAAAATAAGGACTGGTGTTTTCCATGATTGCATTACTCAACAATAACAACAAAAGTGTTCAGGGCATCCAGGTGGATACACCTGCTTATTAAAAATTTAAAGAAAGATATAAGTATTTGAGAGCGAGAAAGAGAGAAGGAGATGGGGGGGAGGGAGGAGAGAGGAAGGGAGAGACAGAGACAGAGAGAGTGAGAGAGAGACAGAGAGAGATCTTCCATCTGCTGGTTCACTCCCCAAATGGCTGCAACAACTGGAGTTGCACCAGGATGAAGCCTGGAGCCAGGAACCCCATGCAGGTCCGTCACATGGGTGGCAGGGACCCAAGCACCTGGGCCGTCTTCTGCTGCCTCCCGGGAGCATCTGCAGGGAGCTGGTTGGGCAACAGAACAGCAGGGACTCAAACCCGCACTGCCATGTGGATTGCAGGCTTCCCAAGCGGTGGCTTAACCCGCTGCGCCACAGCACCTGCCCCCATGCATCTGTTTAGAACACCACATGGTGTGTGGCAGGCAGTGAGAGTCTTTGATAATTTCTGTTGAAGGTGATACTTTGTATCAGGGCATTAGGCTAACTCTCTTTGATTTCCAATGCCAAACTACATACGAAA